TCGGTTTACGAAAATTCATTTCGCGCCATATGCGCATTTAGCACGGATCCGAACCGCAAAACCAAGAGGCCGAAAGGAAAGTCAAGCCAAGTGAAAGGACCAGCCCACACACTCACACACTTGCATATAGGCATAATTAAAAAAATTTCAGAGCGGTCAGAGCAAGAGAGAGAGAGAGAGAGAGAGAGCTATAATGAGCGAGAAGGAGCGATTCGGTAAGCCAGAGGCCATCACATATTTAGGCCAAACTTTCTGCCATCCTGCTCGCATCAGGATCCAAATCCACTGCCACTGCCACTCCCACTCGCCACTTCATCATGACTCATTACGAAATTAAATTAAAATTAAATGCTTTTATTATATTAACGTTGTGCCATCCGCGTATGGAGTAATAATAATCACAAAATAATATGTGAAAATGCAGTGGGTGGATGGGATCTTGTATGGCTGAATTGTTTGGTGGTTCTAGTGGTTGCCCCAAACTCCCTCAACTTCCGGACAGTGCTCTTTATATTTTTTTGTTTGGGGTGGTACTCAATTGAGTGCAATTTAATTATAATTTGTGCAGAGTGCCCAGAATGTGTGGCAGGCCTTTTGGGGTCTTCCGCCCCAAAGTTGGAAAACTAAAAGATTTTTGTGGTGCCTGTCGGCTCTCGGCTTGTGGCAGCAAAAGTCAAAGAATGTGTGGCCATGTTAATTAAGTTCGAGTGCAAAAATATGCAATGGACCAGTAAAATAAGATAATCAAATTGTGGAAAGCCATTTTATAGAGATGGATATTTTGTTCCGGTTTCGGTTCCGGTTCCGCATTATATAGCCAACCATTTTGCAAAGCTAATTCCGAGGCACATCGAGCATAAACATTATTTATGGTCATCAAGTAGCTCTGGCGTTTTATTGACTTTTATTTGGCAGGCCAGTGATGGCCCAGTCATGGCCACGCCATGGCCTCCTAAAACCAATACACTAACTTGGCTGACCTCAAGCCCCCCTCAGTGCAAAATCTGCATAAAGCAGCGAGGTTTTGGTGGAGAAAAGTAAACGGACTTGATGAAAAAAAATGCCAACTAATGTCACTTAGGATGGTTGAAAGCTGAAATTCGAGACAATTTGGGAACAGTTTTTAAATTGCTCGCGGCTGTCGCAAATCTGAAATGAGATGGAAGCGGCATTCCAGTGCGATAACCTCTCGCAGAGTTCAGTTCATTGATAATGAGTTTCTCGAGGAAATGGGCGACCTAAAACTGGGCGGCTGGGCGACTGGGCGGGTCAAACGAGATTGTGGCGGCCGGGACTGGCGTATAATATTTCACACGTTTAGGGCGGAGGATGGACGGGTATCCAACCCAGCAACCAACCATCCCTCTTTTGGCTGGTTGGGCACGTGCCGCCAATAAAGCTGCAAATCGCATAAACTGTTTGAGCCGCTTACACGTCATAAGTAGAGGAGTACTTGGGCTCGGGCTTTGGTGCCTTTCCTCAGATAAGGTTACTCTCGGATGGGCACGGATTCCCGTCTGGTTATTGGCATCTTTAAGGCCCACAATCAGTTCGATTCGTGAGCATAGATTTTGGGCATGTGGCTAGCATTATAGATTCCATTTCAACGAATCTTGTGGATCTTTTGTTTATGCATTTGTTGGTTCAGGTGGTGCAATAAAGAAATTCCCAAATTCATTGTTTAAACTGGAATTTTTATTTAAAAAATTTAATAATTTCTTACCTTATTCGTGTTGGTATCCCCAAGACCATCTCTACCTCAACATACACCTGAAATCTTGCAATTTACTTGGTTTGATTAGATTCTTGTCCTCCTTTGGGTGATTCCCAGATGGCCAAGCCCAAGGCAGCAGTGCCTGGCCATAGCTTGTAATGCAATTTTGTGGAAAATTAATTGACTTTAAAGCTACGTCCGATCGGGAAGCTAATTTTAAACTCACACCAATGCCGAATCGAATCGCAATGAAATAAAACCCATTGCGAACCGCAACGAATTGATTTGAGCAATTTGCGGAGTGGCAGCAAAAAATGTTTGCCTGTAAAATGCAATTGCAATGTGAGGGGGAACAACGCATCCAGCGCAACAACCAACCGACCGACCGACCGACATCCAAATCCAAATCCGAATCCAGGGCCAAATCCCAGACCAAATGAAACTCAAAGCAAACTAAAACCAGAAAAAGCCAGCTACATCCCTCAGAGCGATGGATAGACATGTGCAACGAATTTCAAATGTCAGAAGTCCGGCTGGATAGCTGGTTATATAGATGTACATACGTCCTGGGTCAATCAAAAGGGCTACAAAATCCAAACAAAAAATACTCCCAATAGCACTGAAAAAGTAATAAAAAAATAATTGCTCGATGAGGAGTGAGTCTGCTAATTGGAGGAAACCAAATTATGAGCACAACTTGACAGGCCCAGGCACAGGCACAGGCCCTCCAAGGTGAACTGCTGAACTTTTACCTCTAATTGCGGCAAGTCACTCATGAAAGCCCCGAGAACACCCCATCAAGTTTCTGTTAAGCGGCAAGCAATTGTCACAAGAACCAAGTTATAGTAGGATATATGTACATACATATGTACATATGCCGAAGTAAAAGCATATGAAGTTCGCACACCATTCGGTCTGATATGAAAAAGTTAATAAAACCCAGACAAGGACGTGCAAACCATGGTGTTGTCACCTGGGGAAAGGTTACACTTGCTTATTTTTATGTTTTTGTCGTTGAGGGTTTGCGGAAAAACTTTCCAAGTTGATTTCCTTTGTCAAGGGAGGTCTTTCCCCCAAAAGGAATTGCCGCCAAATTCTCTAGTCTTTGATTATTCGATGTTTTGAGAGGTCTTATTGGGAAAGAGGATGATATCGGTTGATTAATTAATGATTGAAGAAGAACCTCTTTGTGTTTCTCTGGCGATGATCTCATAAGAACCTGTTCTGGCCATTGATTATTCGGCGTGAAATCTGAGAGTTTGTTCAGCATATTGGACACAAAGCAAGCTGGCGAAGAATGTCAAATGCAGACTCCCGACCGCAGATTAACTCTGACCCCAAAACATACACTTTCCCTCTCTTGATTTCTCCCTCGTTCGTTATTTTACTCACACTTCCAATCTTGGGTTTAGTTTCCCACACTTTTCCCTCAATTCACATACGAAAGGGTGGAGCTGGAGGAGGACCAGGAGGAGCACCAATTAAACGGGGAAAAGGCAACATTTACCCCCAGCAGTCTCGCAGGGAAGCCGCAAAGGATGTCCAGGCAACCGGGTATGTAAATGTGGGTGGCTGTCCTGAAGGCGGGCGGCCTTGGGTTATGTGGCTAGTTGGTTAGGGCTTCATTCCGACTACTTGGCTCGACAATATCGATACACCAGGAAAAACTAGGGCTTTTCCTCAGAGCTGCCTTGTTTTTTGCTGGCTTGCCGTTTTCGTCGCATAATTGTAAAGTGCCCCGGCATGTATCGTTGCTGCTCCCCTTTTAATTGTATGCGTTGTGTGAAGTAGTCCTGGGGACCACCGCCACCGAAGCCAAGGCCCATCCTCTTTTCCACCCCCAGGAGAGTGCGTATGTTTCTCCGTTGTTGTGTTGTTAACAAGTTTAACATCACTTTGGCGTACCCTCGAACGTATATCTCGCCGGAGTCGGCCGTGTTGGCCCTGTTTATAGTTGTCGATTTGGCTTGAAAGCCAGCCTATATCGAGGATGGATCATCTGGGGCATATCAGGCTAAATGATGGCAATAAAGAGCCTATTTTGTATCTCAAACCTGAGGCACTTGCTCAATCATTACTTCATTAAATACTGCCTTCAAACCAACATAATATTGGCCAAAATGTAATCAAGTTAATGAAAATCAAGCAACCGAATCACTTGCCCTCACTAGCCTGTTCCATGTCCTGTTTTTATTGAGATAGAGCGTCCTGCGACAATTTATTTTTAAAGAGCTACTTCAGTCCCTTTTCCACACACTTGTGCAATATTAATTGGTCGAGTGTTGAGTGCTGTTGGCCGTCACTTAGCTTAATGAAACCTGTCCTCAAGGAATTTCCATAGATGTATCTGTATCTGAAGTTTTCCGGCTCACTATCGGACCGGGTCGAAAATCAATTTTAAATTAGAGCACAATGAGCTCATGTCGGCACGTGGACGCCAGGTGATATAGGAGCTCCCCCAGCCAGACCAACAAAACACGAATAGGCAGGGCAGGGAGGGCAGAGGTCAAACGAACAGGGGCTTCCTACAGTGAGAGAAATATATGTATATTACTATTATCTGACTATCTTTTAAATTTAAAAGCTAGCTAGAAAAGTCATCTTTTAAAAAACTTTATGTTATGATTGATATGGCAAGTATTTTAAGGATATATATCCTTGTGTATCAACACTATTGAATCCAGTTACATGTCAAAGGACATCCCATCGTTGGAGTTGTTGTTGTTGCTGTTGGGGGCGACACAAGCAAGTAAACAACAATAAAGCGGAGACAAACAAAAGAGTATCAAAAAACGGCACACCAAAGGACACGCCGAGGCTCAAAAACAGGACCAACTAGCAACTTGGAATATGGAAAGGACATGACGAATGACGCGTTGCTAGACAATTTTTCAATTTGAATGGCCCCCCCTGGTTCCTGGTCCCTTCTCCTCCAACCGGCCCACAAAAAACCAGGAAGGCAAACAAAAAACACAAAAGGACGTATGGGCCAGGCCAGTATAGGCCAAAAACTCGAACGTTTCGGATTTCGATTGGTCCTGGCATTCGCCTTTTTTTTTGGGGGAAGGCGGGGGCAGGGTACTGTCGTGGGGAGTTGCCATTGATAGATGCAACCTGCAATTTGCCGCCTGACTAAGCCAGACGATGAGGTCAACGCAAAGTTATTCCATTCCAGTTAGGGGCTTAAACTTTCTACTTTAAAGACTGCACACGATCCTCTCTATATTCCTTAAATTTTAAAACAAAAAAAAAATAATTAATTATACAATTAATTCTATGAACTCACCGCTTGCCCTTGAAGGCCAGCAGGTACTTCTTGTTGGCGGGAAAGTTGTTCGACTGCACGGATCCGGTGGCGCCGGCTCGCAGGGGGAACTGTTTGTGGAAGAGCGGAATGCTGACATCGAATCCGTGCCGCACCTGCAGGACACTCATGCTGGCCTTGGCCAGGATCGCCTCGCCGGCATCGAAGCCCAGCGAGTTCTCCGCGTAATCCGGCCAGGTGCCCGAGTAGAGATTGAAGATTATATGATTGCGTCCATTGTTCCAGTGCGGCAATCTCGCTAATCTCGACGGCACATTTCGGACGTAGTCCTCGGAGAGCGAGTCCCGGTCCAGGGTATCGATGCCCAGGACGAACAGGCAGGCGGCCGAAGGATCGTTGGTGTGGTAGCGCGACTCCTGGATGGCAGTGAGTATCTTTTGGTAATTGGCGGACGAGGGCGGGGCAGCACCCAGGGAGTTCAGCGGCTCGGGGGGATAGACATAGACCAGGAACCGATCGTAGCAGCGGGTGAAATCGAAGCAGGTCTCCATACGGCACTCGGAACTCTTGATAGTCTTCGGTTTCTCGGGGATCTCGGAGCGATTCCCCTGGGTGAGATGCATCTCCAGGGCCTCCTGTCGACCCAGGAAGCCGGGCAGCTGGGCGTACGGTTGAACGCCCCCATCCTTAGCCGATTCGTGCTGGGCGCGACGGGGTCTCAGCGGCGAGACTTTCAGCCGGTAGCCGCCGAAGTAGGCGTAGGCCAAAAAGGCGCAGGATACGAAGACCAGAATGTACCGCTTCTTGGCCTGCATTTTATGGCTAATTTCTGCTTAATCTCCGCTATAATTGTTGCTTATTTTTTGGATTACCCAAATATTTGGGATTCTTCGAATTTTTCTCGTTTTGGTGGCTGAGTGACGGGGTGAGTGGGGGGCGTGATGGGGCTAGTGCGTCCGTGTGCTGCGAGAGTGCTGGTGTATATGTGAGGCGGGGATTCCAACGGCAGCAGCAACAACAACAACAAAAAATAAGAATCACTAGTTGTCGCGCATTTTTGTTTGCTCGGAATTTTGAGTTTCCGCTGCTGTTTGTCGACTGATAACAAGTCTAATGCTTGTTATTATTGTTGCACTTCACACACACCTTGAGCGTAACACATGTATTCACGTACATCGTCCGGTATAGTTCATATTTTCGTTCATAATCTTTTATGATTTCTCATTTCCTGGCGCGACTGTGGGGGCGGAGGGGCGGCGCGGGATGGCGTCGACGACGGCGGGGGCGGGAATGGACCTCGCTCGCGGCGAGGCGTGGCATCGCACAAACATCAATCCCTTCACTTTGCTTCACTTCATTTTCTTGCAAGACATAATTTTGTATCTCAGGAATATAAACATTAGCAACACACACAAAACATTTCTGGCTGGTAAAAATCAGACGGTGTTGAGCAGTGTTGAGCAGCACTCTTGCTCTGGCATTGTGCAGCACTGAAAGAGAGCCAGCAAGAGTCAGCCGTTAGGGTTGCCGCATTCCCCCAAGAAAGCGTTGGTTTATTTAAAAATTGTCCGTTAATAAATTTAATTTAGTTATTAGTATTTAGTTTTGACAAAGAGATTAAATTATTTGAAATGCGCAGGAAAATTTTATCTTCCTCTATAGTAGATGTCTACGACTAAAGTTTTCCGATGTTGTGTTTGCGTTTTCTACGAAGGCAGTAGCGCGCTGCTGTGATAAGAACACGGAAATACGCGAAAATGCAACGCGTGTATGCGTTTTGATAGCTCTGCGTGTACTGGCCAACTTATCAACGAGCCATTTCCCAGCAGCCTCGCTGGAAATTGTAAATGAAAAACCATTGGAAATTAGGCGCAGGCGCAAACCAGCCCGCGCTCCGAAAACCAGATGGCAACGCTCTACCAACAGCTGCTTCAAATTCAAAATTTGAAATAATATTTTTTTCCTGCAAGTCCCTAATTGCTCAGGGAGCTTAACACGGGCCGTTTGGGGGCGGGGCAGTGTGATCCCCCAGGCGTAATATGCTTACGAAATGTAATTACCACTACAATAACTGTTGCAAACAAGCAGCCAACACTGGTGCATCATAATAATTATTGTTTGGTTTGAAATTAATTACATTTACGCCGGCAACACACACATCACGCTTTTCCAATTGTAGATTTGCCAAATGTTACCCATAGGTATTGTATTTATGCCCTTATTAATTATTTGCCCAACTAATTACAGCCTCAAATTGGTGGTTGTTATTTATTAAAAATATTGGATTTCATTTTCAATACTACATTTAAAATGTTAGGAAATATATATAACAATGGGGTATTACATCTAGTGGCCCACAAATGCATCACTATTTTTTGCTGTGCACTCTGAATATGCGTATTATTTTTAAAATTTGAAATAAATAAACTGTTTTTGTGGAGTGGACATTTCGCACCCGCATCCGCATCCCTGCGTCCGGTTTGCTCTTTTTTGGCAACTCGCGCAATTTCCCGTTACAAACGCGTTTAGGCTGGAATTTCAATTATGCACAGGAATGGCGCTACCGCACCGCACCGCCTCGTCCCTTCCCGCCCGGCCGCGTGCCGCTTTTTAGCCACACACCCCCCCTTTTGGTTACGACCTCTTGGTGCTCTTGTTCTTCCTGTGCACTTCCTGCGTTGTGGCCGCAATTATGATATGGCCGCATAGATAGAAAACTCGCCCGAAAACAAAATATGCGAGTCGAGGCAGCTGTGACTCTGCTGGAAATTCCTTTCCATTGCTGCTTTTGTTTCCTCTCTGCTTTTGGGCTTATAAGGGGCTAAACTCCCCCGCGATTCAAACAAGCGAAGAGCTAATAAGAACACACACAAAAAAATGCCTGGGATTACCTTAAATTTGAATAATTTTAAAGGAAATATATTTTGGTATGCTAAATTAAACTCTGTGATTCTGTCAAAAGCTTCACACACTTGTACCCCAGTCCCACATCCTTGCGACCTTGTGGTGCAAATTGCTCTTCCGCTCTGTCACTGCACACGACCCACTTGATGGCCATGCATCTCGTTTCCGTTTCCGGCGTGCCTCTAATTAAGTGTCAGCCGCCCGTGCCCCACAGGGCTTCTCCATTTCCCACATTTCCCTTTCGTTCTTTGTGAGCTTATTGGGTCTGCTCACATACCATTTTCCTGTCACTTTTTTACTCTTCGTTTTTTTTTTTTGCCAAATCACGAACACCGCCCCTATTCAAAGTTAATCAATCATGCACACGCTGCATAATTTGACTTCCTAAAAGAGATTCTAAGGTGTCAGCCAGATGGGGCCCTGGCTCCTACATCCTTCTGTCCCTATCTCTTTTTTTTTTTTGGCCAACACTTTGATGGATTTTGTGATGCTAATGAAACCGTTTTTGATTTACATCGCCCTGGGAATCTGTTATTGATTATATAATCTTTCTTTTAAATAATTTCTTTCTGTGTAACAACTTTGAGATAGCTGACTATGAAGTGCACGACAATCAAAATTCTCAGTTAAAGTTAAGTTCTGCTGCCTTTACCGCCATGCCATGCCATGCCATGCCATGCCACTTCTTCATCATCGTGTTCATCAAAATAGTAACCCGGAAAAATAACAGCAGCAGCAACATAAATTCATTAGCCACAAGACAAAAGACTGTAAGTCAGTGCCGCCACTTTCAGTGCCCGCCAAATTTTATGACGTCACTTTTAGTTGCCACCTAAAGTTTATGGATGCTGGGTGGAGTGATGGTTCCTGACTTGGCCAAGTCTTTATCGCAAATTTTGTAACGAGCTTGTTGGAAGGATGGCTTCCAAATAGAGAGTTGAGAGAGTTAATAGGAACACTATAAACAGTGACTAATTTTGTTAAAATTTCGTGATTAATCCTTACACCTTTTTCTTCTTGCTTGAGATTTAGATTTAGATACAAATTCCTTGAAATATAACATTTATTGGCAAACATATAATGTTGCCCATTGAGCACAAAGCATACATTGTTGAATCGAAAGCAAAGCCTTTCGGCAATATAAAGTGGTCATGTTACTGGTTTTGTCGTTTTACGACTCGGATGTGAACGATTATGGGTGCGAAGGTGTCAACCCATTACTCTGCCGCCCCGATCAGGCCCCATAATGCCCAAAATGCAATATCTATATGCAAAAACTCACGGCGACAGAGAGAACAGATGCCATATCTTGTCAGATTTCCATGGCGGAGGTGAACATGACAGGCCCAACGTCGATGCCTGCAGGACGTGCCAAGGATAACGCCGGCACACACACCCACGCCCACATCCACATTGGCATCCAACTCCATACCTTTGCTTGACACGCACACAGAGAACAATTGGGATGCCTTTATCTATAATGGAATGCCATTTTAAAAGCTAGTCGTATAGTATTTTTTTTTCAGTGAATATAAATCTGAAGAACACCGTGGTACTTTACGAGAAGATGATTATTATGCTGGTGCCTCTAACAAGGGGTGTCCTGGGCGAGGGACTGTATCTTGGTCAGTTTACAAATCCAATCAACGTTGCGTATACTTGATATGCAAACAGGAGGAAAGAAACTTTCACCGCTGACACTCCTCTTTTTATTTCTGCTGCTGCTTCTGTTAAATTAGTTTAGCAAACATCAAACAGGAGCAAAAAAAAAAAACAGAAGAAACAAAAGCAACAAAGGCAACAAAGGCAGCCAATCAAAGCAACAACCTCGGAACGAAGAAGAAAGGTGTTTGACTTTCAATATAACGCATACGCCATGTGGCACTGCTGGCAACAAAAATACGCGAAATAAACACAAACATGTGCGACTGTGTCGACGCTGGTATAATTCAATTTGTTTTAGCCAAAAGAGAAATAAAAATAAATAAATATAAGCGAAGCTAATAAAAAGGAAACCAAGGCACAACAAAAACCGCTCCTTGAAACAAATATCTGTTGCTGATTCCTGTCGCTGAATATGCTATATTCCTCACATATATGTATTTATATGGATGGATGGGAAAGGAAACTCTCAGCTTTAGCAGCAACAACAAAAATTTTATGCATAATCCTTGAACAGAGGACTCCTTCTCCGCCTTTTTCCTTGCTAAGTGAGCCGGAAAATGTGTTATTTTATGCGTAACGCAATTTTGAGGGGCAATATCACAAACTTTTACTGCACTTTCAGGAGAGTTTTATTTTTGCTGTGTGTGCGTAGGTTGCGGCACTGATTTCAAGGTCGTCATTTTTACGGAAATCCATAGAGATACATACATATATTACCCACCAGCAATTGCTTTAAATATTTTCATGCTTTTGTAGGATAGACAATGGCGGGTCCTTTAAGGCTCTCACCTCTTGTTGCCTGTATCTCAACCGCAAAATGATCAAAAGGACGATTAAGCAGCCACACAAAGTTCCCTCCGGCGAAATTCATTCCGTGATTTGTTTGCTTGCCAAAGGAAATGCATGCTGGATAAATTAAATTTCTGGGAAAATAATTGCTTTAATTTGTTGGCATGGCTCGGCAACATTTTAATTGAATTGCGAAACAAAATCAGATATTATTATGCGATAGAACCGGAAGAATTATAGAATTATGCAAATTGGCTAAATTATTTGCAATAAACATTTCATTAAATATAATTGCCGCAATTTAATCTGTAAGGTTACTACAATTATAAGTAATTTTAAGAACTACTATATATTAAAGAGAAATTAGGTCCTTATTCGGGCCTCTGTTTCATTATCCTCACACTCGAATACTTCTATTTATATTTTATAATATTCCTCGTTGCTGGATTCAATTAAATTCTGTGAATTGAATTACGTGGCAAAGCACACAGAAAATCTAATCATACACTTGGTGCAAATTTTCACAGGCACTGGCACAAAATTCATGATCCGGATTGCCGCCCCCCAACTCCGAGGGGGATTTCAGGCTTCAGCCCACTTAGCCAGATAAACATTTGTCCTGGCCAAGTGAGCTTCATGTGGCACTGTTGCTGCAACATATTGCATTTTAATGGGAATTTCGTTTTCATTGTCAACACTTTTGTGAATTATGAGGGGGAGGCGATGCGGAAAGTCAACCAGGACAGTCTCCAGGACATGCATTCCTGCAGTCGTAAATTCAGGCTCAAGATTAGAGAGCTTAAGCGGAGCAAACTGCAACTGAAGCCGAATGAGATGAGCTCTCGGGTCCTTGCTAAAGGATGAGCAAGGATGAGATGCCAGTGCCAGCCAGGACATTTGACACTTTTCAGGCTTAATGAGGCAGAGAGCGAGTGCCTCCCGTGCCGTCTTGGTGGCAGCCAGCCATCCTTGGTACTTGGCTCCCTATTTCTCTATTGTCTTCTGGCCGCACATTTGCGGGCGACGTGTGTCAACGCATTGTGCGGTGTAAATTGCTTGCTGCTATCGACCTTATTCCCCATCCCCGGCTCCTCCTCTATCTGGCTAACCAATGCAGTACTTGTGAGCCCGCATGTCGCCACCACCGCCTACGCTACCATGGCTTCTGCCCCCGGAAAACGCCCCTTCATTACCCTTCGGGCCATTCA